TAACGCTTCGGCTGTACCAGTTTGGTGATCCCTTGGAGATTCTTGCCGAGACCCTTGCCAGGCTCATACCCCGTCCATAACAATATGCTTTCTATCTTGTTGCTCCATCATTTTTCTTTTTCAATTGTGTTGACGCGCTCAATGCGGTGGTATGTTTCTCCACCCATCTTCCTCCTATTCTCGATGACTGGAACAGTCTAATTGGTATAGATGGGATTACTCCCGTCTCCATGGACGATCACCTCCTGATGGTTCCACTCAAACTTCACAGCCTGATGCAGAGTAGAAGCTACAGCCCCAACGACATGTATCCAGGGTCGCCCCGACAATAGATTGTAGGTAGCAGATATATCCAGTACTTGAAACTCAACATCAAACCAGGTTGGGCCCATCTGTAGGCTGAGGTTGATCTCTCCAATTGTGGCCCTTTGATATCCATCAAACGCCTTTACATTCATGCTTCCTGCTCGTATCTCGTGTAGACCTTTACCCAACCTCTTCAGAGTAGTCAGTGGACATATATTGAGACTTGAACCCCCATCTATCACAACCCTAGCGATGAACTTATCTTCGAATTGCACCGTGATATGTAGTACCCTGTTGTGACTTAGTCCTTCCGGTGGCAGCTCGTCTTCATGTAAAGTGATTTTGTGTCTTTCTAATACCTGCCCGACTATGTTGGCCATTTTCCCACTAGTGATGTTGGTGGGTACATAGGCTTCACTCATCACCTTCATCAGGGCATTCCTGTGTGTCTCGGAGTTTTACAGTAGTGATAAAATGGATATCTAAGCAGGAGTTTTGTTCAAATGGTCAACCACGGAGTAGTCTCTCGCTTGCACTTTCCTCCAAAGGTCGTCCGGGCCAGTCTGAATGATAGGCGGTTTAGATGTAGCTTCTTTGCTTGTTTCTCCCAAGTGCTCAGGTGTATAGACCCTGCCAGTTCTAGTCATTCCTTGTGCCGCACCTGTTTCTTCCATTTTTTCTTTTCCTTTCCTCCTTGCTTCCGCGACATAATCCCATGGTATAGCATCAGATTTGTAAGATGGCGTGGGTGCTACCGTCACGGTGAATGGTGTGGTTACCTCAACTTTAAATGGTGCTGGTGCGGTTACCTCGACTTCTACTGGTGCCTGGGTTTGTACCACAATGGGCGTAAGGGTGACTGGAGATGTTTCAGGATCATCCCCCTCCCGAATGAGTCCAATTGACCCTTCCAGATCCCATTCTTCATCGGTCTCTATCACATTTACTCCCTCACCTCTATGATCCGGGAGAGGATTATTACGAACATTGGGCGTAGCCTCCTTTGCTTGTATGACTTTTGTGTCGATTAATGTTTGGATCTTGTCCTTCAGAGTGCGACACTCATCAATGGTATGGCCCTTCATACCTGAGTGATAAGGCACATGTCTTGTTTGGGTTAATCCACTGAGAAGATCAGTTTTCCATAGCAACAACGGGAATAGAAGCGACATAACCAGCAGCCTTCAATCACTCATATAGTTGGTCTATGGGTTCAACAATTGGAGTATATTGTCTGGGTGGTCTGTGGTCTAAATTTGGTCTTGGGTTTTGGTAATTTTAGCAGGCTGGTGATAGTGAGTGGTAATATGCAGGTTGGGTGTTATAAGTGTGGTAGGTGGTAGCAGGTTATTGGTATCTGGGGGGGTGAAGGCTGGTATGTGGGTGGAGGTGTTTGGTATGTGAGAGGAGACTTTGGACCTTGGGCTACCATTACAGCACCCACTTCTTTCTTCTTAGAGATACCCCCTAACTGCAAAGCTTTATTCGTGGCTTGGAGTGCTTCGAAATTTGTCACCATTCCACTCTTGATCCCTTCTTCTATTCTTTCTCCCAGTTTGACGATGTCAGAGAATTTATGATTTTCAATAACCATCAGTCTTTCATAGTATTGCGGGTCTTGAGCTCTGACGAAGAACTTATTCATCTATTCTTCTTCAAGTGATGGCCTTACTGTTACAGCTTCAGATCTCTACCGAGTAGCATATTCAAGGAAAGTTTTAGTTGGTTTCTTCTTGAGATTTTTAATGTAGAAAACGTCCGGTACGTTCTCTGTGTTAAATCTGAATGGATCCATGAAATCTGACGCCATGCTCACCCAATTAAACCACTTCTTCACGTTCTGACTGATGTACTAAGACAAAGCATCTCCAGTGAGGCTCCTCATGAACAGCTTCATACGAATTCATTCATCTTTGCCAACTCCTACAAGTTTCTAACAATATGTTCTTAGATGCACTTTCGGATCACCAATTCTGCCGAACATTTCAAACTTGAGAGGTTTGTAACCCTCCGACAGTTCTACATCTAGTTGAATGCACAAGTCCTCATAATTCAAACCTTCAATGCCCTTGCCACCTTTGACACTCTGAACTCTACCAGTGAGCTTCTTGAGTTCTTCCGCCATGTTCTTGATAAGCAGGTCCTTCTCGGTGGATTCCGGTATATATAGGGTTTGTTGTGGGGTGGGGGGTAAAGGTGGACTCCGAGAATCTGGGCATAAGTGGTGGTCACTGGTTGAGTTTTTGGGATCGGGATTAGGTTGCGGTACATTCTGAGGAGTGTGGTAAGTGGTGGTTTATGGGTATTGAGTTGGATGGTGATGGTGTTGTTGAGGAGTAGGTACCGGTAGAGGGTTATGGTTCAGAGGAGGTGTGGTGTATTGATGGGCTACGAGAGGATTTGGCGGTGGATTTTAGTTCTGTGTGTTTTGGGGAGGTGCCGGGTTTTGGGCATTTGGGTTTTGTTGGTTGATATCAGGGACGTTTAAGGCGAGGGAAAGGTTTGCCAAGTTCTGGACCTGCTCGAGTTCTCCTTATAGCTCCAGTATTTTCTGTTTCAAGTGTAGCACCAATTCGTTCTATGCTGGAGTACTTCGACCATCCGAAGTTTCAACGTTTTCTGCATTGTCTTTTCTGATANTTTTTAAGCAACTTTGTGATGAATTAACGGATGGCGGGACAATGAGTGATGAACCTGTAGAAGTGGTAGCTATGGGTAAGAAGAGTCGTCGTCCCGATCATATACCCGCACTGAAAGCAATTAAGAAAATAAAAAGGAGCCCATTCATTGTTGCCGATATAGAGGCTGCTCTCCACGACGATGTTCATGTTCCTTGCGCAGTGGGGTTCTTAGTGGTTAAGCCGGGTGAAGATCTTGCTTCCAAGTCTGAATATTATATTGAAACATATTTCAGTGAATTCTTTCCTGTCGTGCGATTTTGGTCTCTCGGTGCTAATTTGAAACCTCTACTCTTGTCCTTTCGTGAATGGCGAGGTCATGTACCGCTTCTTCAGCCGAGTAGCAACGGACCGGCAATAGATCAACTACGTCTTCGGAGGCTTTGTGGAGGTAGAGATGCTAGAGGTGGAGGTAAAGGTATTAGAGGTGGAGGTGCAGGTATGGTTCTTGTTAGTGAGTAGAGATGCTTCAGTGTTATTTGTATCCTATTCTGCACTGTGTCTGGTCNATTAATTTCTTTTACTGCATTTTATACAAATATTGAACTTTGAATATTATCTACTAATAAACCTGTCCACACCATAATCTAACCAAAAAAGATAATATATATCAACACTTATTAGAAATATCAACATATTTAGCATCACAAAAGTATTACTTTCATATATAAATGATGGGGCTACTACAAAAATGCTCAAAGCAGATTTAGCAATGTTTCTAGCTGCATACAGTAGCGTCAAACTAAATTTTAACATAAAACATTCACCCTAGCCATTTTAACATCCGCTCCAATCACATAATTACATTGTCATAATTAATTATCTAATTCAATTATAAAGAACTTCAATTGTTGTCACTTGGATTACTGCCATCAGATGATCTTCTTGCACCCATGGGTGATAGGGATCCACTAGCTGCATCTCTGGGCTGCAAACAAAATAAAACAATAAGATATTTATATAACTTGAGTTATTTCTTGAGCACTATAAATATAAGTATAATCCCAGAAACAAGAAAGTGTCACCGGGAATAAAGTACAATCGATCCACTAGAGAAGAGCGGGGAAAGAAGATCTTTAGTTTTTTTATATGAGTATCTCCTGATGCAGAAATAAGTAACTATCTCTTTCCCAATTCTACAATGTCTATGGCTACAAAAAAGAATACTCAAAGAAAGTTAAAAGTGTGTCAGCTCCAATCCAGAATTTAACTTTCGAATTGTCAAGATGAACAACAATGAGTAAGTGACACCGTCAAAGTAGACAGGTAATGCATGTAAGCTGTTTTAAGCTTTGTAAAATGAACCGCACGGTAAAATCCATATTCATCACATAATGTTATGAAATCTTAGTGTTGAAAATCAGTAATTTCTTCAGAAGTGCAGTTGTCAAGCAAAACGAACGAGATTGCAGGACATTCATTTTGCGACATGTTTACTGCTCAAGCTCGCATATAGTTGTGGCCGTACATGTCCAAGATTTTGTTAGGACGAAAGTATGCAGGATTCAACATGGACTATAGAGAAATTTAAAGGCAGCAGGGGCATTGCAGCAAAACAAGTGAGGTTGAATCCAGTGGACAGTGCATCAGTGGTCACTTACTATTAGTCATCACCCCTGACCCCTGGGTCGTCGATGAGTTGAGAAATATGGATAAGATACATTATTTGGACATGTTCAACCAACTAATGGATGCACAATGTCCCTAGCTAGGAATGCCAGCAGCACAGAAATGTATGCTTGTGTAAACACTCACTGCATCTTTTTATCTCAACCAAATGTAGAAGCAGGAAAGGGGCAATCATGCCAGTTTTTTCAGAAATTTTTCTTCCTTAACCAACTAATCCATCAAACTGATAATTTCAGTTCATATCACTCACCCGTGTTTAGATCACTATTTCTTTAAGAATAGAAAATTCTACAAAAATATTTACTAAGGTCATACGGATCAAAAGTCACTTAGCAGTCTAATCAATCTTGTTAAAACTGTAAAATCATTGTTATTAAGACCAGCATTTCCCTAGAAGACAAGGAGACTTTCATCTATTTTGACAGACAAAGCTATAACAGTAAGCAAAAAGGATGCATTAAAGAGATGACTTGCACTTTAACCCCCTAATTTTTTTGAAAGACTCGGGAGCTTGAACTTTACACTGTTTATACTTAGAAGGAAGTTCCGGACACCTTGAAATTGCAAGGAAATTTACTCCAATAATGTTTCAGTCTAGAACAAAATAAAGATCTAATCTCTTGCGAGCTTAACTAAATAGTGCACTAACATTATTAATAGAATAGTAGTAATCACAAGTTTATTTAACGTTGTAGGAGGAGAAGCAAAGAACCCCGCAAATTGTTCCGGTATTGTCCCTTCTTTCATTATCATATATGCCTTGAAAGCATTCATCATTTGTCTGTTGGAATTCGCTATTTCTTTGTAGTTCTCTTGGCTTTGGCTGTGAACAATTTATTGTAGTTCTCTTGGATTTGGTTGTGAGCATTAAACAATTTATTGTAGTTCTCTTAGCAATGATTCAAACATGAAGCATCACTACTTGAAGCATTCATACCACAAAAATGAGGTCTTGCATGTTTAAAAACTTTGCTGGGGATAGCTCCTAATCCTAAGCACCTTACCCTTCCAGAGTGCTCTTTTCCTAGCACTTTACCAACAGCATCATTCGGCGAAACTTCAGACTCATCCACCGTGCTTTGGCTCAAAGAAAGCTCAATTTTTTCCTACATATTGTTTGTCACAACATTAATAAGTAACTAAATGCACACTAAGACAAGCAAAAAAGAGATCTCTATTTCAAGTTCCTAAATATCATATCAAGTTCTTGACGCTAGGATGGAATCATGACGCTGAGGAATTAAAGTTGCTGTTTATGGTTACTATTTTTTCTTACATAATCACGAAGCAGAATTCCAGGGGACTAGAGTCGAGAATGTGAAGAAACAAATGTGACACTATATATGCTATTGCAGTAGTTAAAGTATGTGAAAATACTTGATCTAAGTATGCACATACAAATTATACACTGCCATTGCTACAAAATCACAAGAATATATAAGAATACAATTTGTAACCGTAACAACTGATTAAATTTCTCAACTTATCATATAATCCTTAATTTTTCCACGAGTTGCGACAGTGATCATGAGGTGTCCAGTGAAACTTGGATGTTTGATTGGCAGGGGAGGTCATAAACCTCTTCCAATCATGAATCACTGCTATCAAATCAGCCATTTTAGCACTAATTCTCCAGCAACAGTTGGAGTGAACAGTCACAACGGCCCTAACATCCTTACTGTTTTAATAGCGTAGAAGCTCAGCAAGATAGGTGAGATGGAATAAATTCTCTTTTCCCATAAATGAGACGGAAAGACCAGAAATGAAATGTTAGCTTAAACTAAGATTGTGATCAAGGCTGAAAATATAAAACCTTTTGGTTTCTTTTACACTGAGAAAATGGAATGTTATATCAATAAGATAAACAAGTCATTTCATTCAATCCCCTTCTGGCTAAAAATCTTGAATAGCTAATTTTGCTCATATAATTTGTCTGGTAAAGTTGGCAGTTCTTCTCTTGCTAGAGAAAAAGAAAGGAGAAAGGTGATAGAGCTGAGTCTCTCCTAAGTTAGATCTAATAAATAACTTTCTCAAAGAGAAGAAGAGGAATTTTCAAGAAAGCTGAAGAACTTTCTGTTCCTTGTGATGTTGATGTTGCTATATACATAAATTAGATTTTAGATCCATAAAGGATAAATAACCTTCAACAATAAAAAAATAAGAAGAAACTTACACATATTTTCTTTGCCGCCTCATTCACATATGTTCCATCTTGTTTCTTATGAGTATCAAGATAAAGTTGTGCGCGTCTAGGCCTTCGTCCAGTCTCAGCCATCTATAAATAAAATAACCAACAAAATAACTTAACTGGAATAGTTACATAAGTTAGTTTAATAATTAAAGTAAATTGACATGAATTAACATCTTTCACCATTTCAGCCCTTCTTCTGGAGTTAGGCTTGGAGCCACCTGTATGTGTAAATTTTTGTTTCTTTCGAATTTCGGTATTCTTTCTGCACATTTCCTTACAAAAAAAAATACTTGAAAGTCAATCACATAAATAACTAAATATAATCAAACATACAAGTTGAAGTAATGAAATAAATATCATAGTTGTTTCTTTAAAACGATAATCAACAAATGTAGTCCACTGATCCCGTGGAATCCCAGTCGGAATATTTTCCATAATCTGAGCTTTACTTTTGAGTGGATCTGTGACGACCCAAAGGGTCATCACCTGTTTTCTTATTCATTTCGTGCTTCCGGGGCCTCAAAACCTCATTTAGGATTGCCTTGATTTGCGTGCGCAATCCAGGCACATAGCCGAAAAGCTTAAATATGAATTTTGTGTGAAAAATGCTAAATTTTGATATTAATATGAATATATTTCACTTCGGTCAATATTTTGGGTAAACGGACCCGGACCCGTGATTTGATGGACCCGGAGGGTCCGTAGAAAAATATGGGACTTGGGTGTATGCCCGGAATCGAATTCCGAGGTCCCAAGCCCGAGAAATGAATTTTTGTGTGAAATTATTTTCTGGAAATAATTAAGGAAATTGGAAATGAAATTTGATTAGAAGACTATGGTATCGGGCCCGTATTTCGGTTTTGGCTCCCGATACAAGTCTTATATATGATTTAAGTACTTTCTGTAAAGTTTGGTTGAAAACGGACGTCGTTTAACGTGTTTCGGACTTAAAATGGGAATTTGATGTTTTATGAAAAACTTGGAAGAAATCATGAGTTTCGAGGCTTGATTCGATGTATATGATGTTATTTTGGCGATTTTATCGCACGGATAAGTCCGTAGGATGTTTTTGAGGTCGTGTGCATATTTGGTTTGGAGCCCCGAGGGCTCGGGTGAGTTTTGGATAGGCCACGGCTTGCATTTTTGAACTTTGGAAAAATCTGGTATGCTCAGCTCTGTGATCTTCGCATTTGCGAAGGATCTCTCGCAATTGCGAGCTCGCAAATGCGAGCTCTTCATCGAAATTGCGAAAAATGGGATTTTGACCTGCTGATCGCAAATGCGATCTAACTGTTTGCAATTCCCAAACTGGGCAGTCGCAAATGCGACTTATTTTGTCGCAAATGCGAACTATTGTTCGCAATTCCCAAAGTAGCAGGTCGGGGTTCGCAATTGCGAACCCCAGTTCGCAATTCCCACATCTGAGGCCCAGCATATTTTATACTTAGCTGAATTTGAACTTCATTTTTCATATGTTCTCAAACTCAAACACCCATAGGCGATTTTCCAAGAAATCTTTCTTCTCCAAATCAATTGTAAGTTAATTTCTACTCATTTCTTTCAACCATTAACATCATTTAACATGTTTTCAACTTAAAATCAAAGATTTTCATGGGTGAAATTGGAGGTTTTGGGTAGAACCTAGGTTTTTCTAAAATTGGGGATTTGGACATCAATTTGGAGGTCCGATTTCAAAACAAATCATATATTTGGGTTCGTGGGGGAATGGGTAACCGGGCTTTGGTTCGAACCTCGGGTTTTAACCACGTGGGCCTGGGGGCGATTTTGGAATTTTTTGGCAAAACTTTGAGAAATTCATTTTTATGCATTCAAACTGATTCATTTAGTGTTTATTAAAGTAATTAAGTGACTTATGACTAGATTCGAGCGGATTGGAGGTGGAATCACGGGGTAAAGCTATAGTTGAGGCTTGAGTTGAGTTCAAAGCATCGAGGTAAGTGTTTGTTTTAACCCTAGCTTGAGGGAATAGGAGTTGAGTCTTATTTGCTACTTGCTAATTGTCGGGTACGATGTATAGGCATGGTGACGAGTATCTATACATTGGTGTCTAGCATGACCGTGAGTCCTTATTTTGCGAATAGTTGGGATTTGTTATATCTTCCATGTTTAATTGATGACTTCTATATGTCGTAAAGATCTTGTGAAAGAAATTGTGATCTTTGAACTTCATGGAGCGTTGGTTCGAGTTGAAATACAAATTGTGAAGGTATATGAGATAAGTAAATCTTTGGAGCATTGGCTCGAGTGATAATGTGAACTATGAGATGAAAGTGCAAGAAAGAGAAAGAGTTATTGATATTTTCCCTTGCTGGGACGTTGTGATTATTGATGTTGTACCCTTGCTGGGTTTTAATTGTTTGTTTGTGTTCCCTTGCCGGGATTTTTATTATTGTTTATTTATTCCCTTGCCCTTGTTAGTGATTGTTGATTGTGTGAGGAAGAGTGTTAAAGCACGAAGGGTGATGCCGTGCATTGTTTGTTTTCTTGTGAGGAAAGAGTGTAAAGCACGAAGGGTGATGTCGTGCACTGTTTGCTTATTGTGAGGAAAAGAGAGTAAAGCACGAAGGGTGATGCCATGCCGCATGATGTACCATTCCGTGCCAATTCTATTGATTATATGTGAGGAAAGAGAGTAAAAGCAGGGTGATGCCGTGCACATTTTTATGATATCATTGCTTGGTGAGGATGAGAGTAAAAGCACGAAGGGTGATGCCGTGCACTTGTTGCAGTTTGCTGTGATTTCTTGTTGTTATCAGTTCAAGTGCATTACTTGTCTTATTCCATTATTTCACGTTCGCATTTCCCTTTATCGTGTTACTTGTTATTATTGAACCAAGGTGTCCTTGCGCAACGTTATGTCTTGAATTTATGCCTTAATTGTTACATGATTATGTGACCTAATTGCTACGTGACATTCAACATATTAATTACTAAATTACCTAATTGCCCCCTTATAATCCATAATTAATTGCTATTTGTCATTATTTGTTTTCCTTAGTAAATCATAAATTTTGTGTACTTATTGTCTTATGAACTCGTATTAATTGTTGCGTTTGTTAGAGTAAATTTTCTTTTAGAGGAACTGTAGATTTATTGAAATGGGAGCGGGTGGTACGCCTACCACAAGTGATATTGAAATGGGAGCGGGTGGTACGCCTACCACAAGTGATATTAAAATGGGAGCGGGTGGTACGCCTACCACGAGTGATATTGAAATGGGAGCGGGTGGTACGCCTACCACGAGATATTGAGAATTGGGATCGGGTTGCACGCCTCAAGATGAATTGAATATGAAAGTTGCCTTATCTCTTCATTTACTGCTAGAAATTAAATTGTAGATGTATGCTTTATTATTCCTGAAATTCTATTTCTAACTGTTGCCCCTGAAGCATGCTCCCTTCCCCATCTTAAATTGTTATTTTCTTGCTACTTTTCCGTTGTACTTGTATATATATCTGCACAGGTTTATTTGGTGGTCTGGTCCTAGCCTCGTCACTACTTCGTCGGGGTTAGGCTAGGCACTTACCAGCACATGGGGTCGGTTGTGCTGATACTACACTCTGTGCTATTTTGCACAGATCCCAGGCTTCAGACAGCAGCAGCAATAGAGTGGGAGCAGGCTTTCAATCCAGTGAGACCCGAGGTAGCCTTGCAGGCGTTCGCAGGCCCTGGCGTCTCCCTTCATCTATATTCCTGTTTCTTTCATGTAATTCTGGAGACAGTGTCGAGTTTATTTCTTTCAGACCTTAATGTGTAGTATTCTTAGACCGTCTGTGAAACTGTGACACCAGTCTTGGGTAGAGGCCTTGGTTGAAATTTTCCGCAATTCTATTCAGTTTTCTATAATATTGAGACTTCCGCTTATTATTTAATTTCGTTGCTTTTGTATTATTGCCGATAATTGTTAAAAGGAATTATGTTATTAATGAAAAAGTAATTAAATTTGGCTTGCCTAGCTCCCATTAGTAGGGTATGACAAAGGCGATATGACTTACTCTGCCCATAACGCTCATGAAGGAATTCAAATGGGATGTATGACTTCTTCAAACAAAGCAACTCATCATTTTCTTGAAACCTAGCATTTTTAGAAAACCGTGAGGGGTGCGATTCTTTGGAACTGATAACCTTGGACTATCTCATGGCATCTTTGTGAAGCCTCCTATTTCTTCTAGGAGAGGAGTCATTTCTATGTCACCAAAGCGGAAGACGGCCCTTTTCTCATCCCAAAACATAGTGGCGGCCTCAATCAATACTCTATTCGGTCAGATGTCTAGTAAGGACGGTAAATTACCAATGACTCTATTCACGTGATTCTTGTCGCTAGGCGTGAGATTTTTCCACCAATCAAGTAGCAGGGGTGGAATATTTTGGACCATGCCGAACCTGGGGACTTCGTGCTTCATTTTCTGCAAACAAATAAGGTTAGCCCTTTCCCCCTCCAGATTCGACTATTCACACAATAATGATCAATATATTGGCATATTTTCTCTAAGTAATACACATAACATGACGGTGTCCATTGGGATTGTGGAAATCCCGTCGGACTTTGGACTAGGCTTATCTTAGCGGCTATCACGTTAACAACGTTCCAACCCGTACAAGATTTAACATGATGCATGTACATTTGATATTGGAGTAAGGTTTCTAGAATGGCCTAGACTGGTACTCTCAAGTGGACAACTTGAGAGGGAAAGGCACGGAACCATCAACTGCACCGCTAATCGACTAGTGTACCGCAAATAAGCCTTTTCGATTTAAATAAGGTAATTTTAGAAGAGCGCGGGCACTCATCAAGCGCCGCTATGTTGATAAATGGCACGAGTTGAGTATGATGTGGAGCATGCTTTATGAAGAGATAATAACACGTTGTCAAGTATGATAAATATGTAAAAAGTGGTAAATACAATACTAAAGTAAAACATGAAAAATATAAAAGAAAGACAAAGGAAGAAGTTAGTTCGTGGAATATACGCGAGAATGTAATAAAGCAACAAGGGAGTAGGGACGGGAGATGCATGATATAGTAGTCTTTAAACAAATGAAGAGCAGTTATAGCAAATAGGGGTGAATAGGAAAG